AGAGAGAGAGAGAGAGAGAGAGAGAGAGAGAGAGAGAGAGAGAGAGAGAGAGAGAGAGAGAGAGAGAGAGAGAGAGAGAGAGAGAGAGTAGTGTCTGCACTTCCGTGCGTTTGAACTTTGAAGTGGAGCCGACACCAAGGCCAGGTCTAGCCAACCTAAATATCATTTTTTATTAATGTATCGAGTCTACTATTGATCATGTTTTATTTTTATTTTTTTCATTGTAAATGTGACCATGTGCGCAGACAGATCAGTACAGGGCAATCACAAAAGATTACACGTGGCATAAAGGACTCGAGAGAGTTCAGGTTCTTATTCTTGTGCTTGTTATCATCCTGCTAAAACACAGCAACACCAACAGGAACTTCTTTCTCCGTTTTTCCTTTTTTTTTTTTTTTTATGTTTTTCCCTGGGCTACCAACCGGACGGCCGGGGTCCGGGCAAGGATCAGCGAAGGTCCCTGAAAAAAAAAAAAAAAAATCCGAATAAAAATAAAAAACATATTTTAAAATACAAAAAAACAAAAACAAATCCTAAAAAAGTTTTTAAAAACTATGTTCTGCGAAAAGATAAACGGAACAACTTTTGCCTCAGGCTCACATCGAAATTCTTTATCAGATTAAAATTTAAAACTGAAAAAAAACTGAAAAGAACTTTCTTTTTTCTTCTCGGCCCGGTTGGGCAAGTGGTTTCTGGGCCAGTCTGGTAACCTAGGATTTCACAATTTTAACCAGAATAAAAGAAAAAGAAAAACTGTGATCGCACTTCTTCTTCTTCTTCTTCTTCTTCTTTTTTGATCCTCCTTCGTTAGTTATGTGCAGACTTCTTTGTTCGCCCTGTACTTACTCTATAATGAGTCTATATCTTTTTTTTTCTTCTTTTTTAAAGTTTTTTTTTTTTTTTTTTTTTTTTTTTCTTTTTTTTATAGTAAGTTACTGACTTTTTTTTTTTTCTCATTTGAACTGTAATTAACAGCTGGCCAAGGCCAAGGAAGATGAAGTTGCTGCAGCGCACGAGAGGAAGCAGCTTCAGAGTCTCTTGCCTAAGGTAAATTCTTGCATTAAGAAAACAAAAGGGAAGAAAGGAAAAAAAAAGAAAAACGGAAGGAAAAGCGACCTTACGCCCCCATTATTTCATTTACGTGCCAGAGTCAACATTGGGACCCCGTTTGGATATTTTAATATTTTAGTAAATAGTAAATACTAGATTTACTGGGGGGGGGGGGGGGGGGGGGGGGGGATGAATTGTGAAGCAGCGGGTTGAAAATTATTCTTCTAACTTCTTTCAGTGTGGGATGGTGTGGCAGCATTCGTGCTCAGAAACTGAAAATATTTTTTATAATTTTATATAGGAAAAAAACAAGGTTCTCCTACTACCATTGCAATGAAGGAGAGAGGGGGGGAGGGAGGGAGGAGCAGCCTTACACCTTTTAAGTTTTACGTCGTCTACTTCAGTGAGATACAGAGTTGGAAATAAAAGAAAAAACTTTTAAAAAGCAATAAATTTTTGAAAGACGAGATGGACGCATCATGTCATCTGGCGCTCACCTTCGTCCTTCTTGTGGCTACCACAGCAGCTTCCTCCACGGGCACAACACTATGCTACTAGACGAGCAGTGCTACCGGATTGGCACAATGCCTGACTGTGTCCGGACTGCTCGGCCTCTCAGGCTCTCATCCTTTTGTTCCTTTTGAGGCAGGCATCAGGCCGAGCTTGCAGAAGGCCGTGAGCAGACCCAATGTCCAAGGACTGGCCCTACTGGGCAGCGCCCAGTGCCTGGCCTCTGCAGCTAGCTGAGCCTGCCAGTTCATTACAGGTGCTGGCCTGCAGTCTGTCTTGGGGCCTTCGCGCTGGCCTTCACTTAAGGCCGGCTTCAGTTTTTTTGTCCTGGCCCGCCTTCACTTCAAGGCGCGCCGCGCACCTTTTTCTGCTTGGCTGAGGGGACTGAATCCTCATATAAAACTTTTACCATCTGCCAGATCTCTCTCTCTCTCTCTCTCTCTCTCTCTCTCTCTCTCTCTCTCTCTC